TGTTGTTTAAGTAATTGAATTTGTATTTATTTGTATGCGTATGTTTGCAGTGTAGTTGCCAACCTTTTTTACCCCAAAGTATCATATGTCCATAACAATGGGTTTGTTCGTAAAGGTCTGTTCAGTGCAAATAAAAGGCCCTTGTGCATAACTTGTTAAAATAATTGGCTCTTTAGAAACTGTTGTTTTTAGCTTACAGTGATGTTATCTTAAACTTTTTGTCCCATGGGCTAGCAGAAGTCAGAAATGATCCAATCTGTTCCATTCTTTTAAAAAATTACTGTTTATAATATCCTATGAACAATTTATCAGTTTAAATTCCTTTAAGAAATCTGTGTGTCTTTAGCACTGTGAAACAATGGTGCGTTAAATCCTGAAGTCACTGACCACTGGAATATAATATCCTATGAACAATTTATCAGTTTAAATTCCTTTAAGAAATCTGTGCGTCTTTAGCACTGTGAAACAATGGTGCGTTAAATCCTGAAGTCACTGACCATTGGAAAGTGTGCTGTCAGTCTTGCTTAAATATATTCATATGTATTCTAGGTAACTTTGCACTCCAGACACATAGTTGACATATGTTACTTAACTGCTAGGAAGTAGGTACATAGATGGGGTGAGGGTTCAGCAGCGTATATGCTAATGGCACACAACTACCCTTTTTACTAGTGACTTCTTTCATTAGTAGGAGAATACATATTTAGAGCACTGTGGAATTTATGCAGCATAGAACATGGGAGTGCTCCCCAAGTTAGGTTTCTGATCATGTTTTTAATTTTTAAAAAATCAAACTTCTGAGAAGATTATGTTGTTGGAAGCCTGAGAATATGTGCAGTCTGCAGGAGATCCTAATATTAATATGAGGTCCCAAGTGGGAAGGGAGCATGCTGAACCTTTTTGTTGCCCTATCTTCAGATTTTGTTGTTCCCTGCTGATATTTAGGTAGCGTTGACGGGCTTCTGTCCCAGCACTCTGTGCTTCAGAATGAATCTGATTACTCCTCAGCAGTATCTTTTCTTGTGGCAGCTGGTTGGCTCTCCGCATCGAGTGTCTATTGTAAACAAATAATAGACATGTGTACTATATGTTTGTTAGTCACAAATTCCTTTAGTGGGGGAGGGGTATCTGTTTGACTTTTGCTGATAGTTGAGTTGCAGCAAAAAATCAGGCATAAAATAAATGCCTTTAAAATTCAAGTTGAACCTATTAATACTGGCCATTTGCTTATTTTTAATCTTGTTCCCTGTTCAAAGATCAGGCAGCATGTAAGATAGCATGTTACTCTACTCCAAGACCACTGAAGTTAATGGCTTAGACTGGAGTAACTTTGTATAGGATTGTAATGTGGATCTTGCAGTATTTTTCATAAAGGCTTCTGAGCAAACATAGGGTAAGTCCAAGTTAGATCAGGGCCTTGGTGCAGGGAAAACAAATTAATCTTCCCCACTACTATTTCGTTGGTTGAAATGCCAATGCTGCTGCTGTCATCAGTGTTGGAGGAGAAAAGACTGGTACCTGCATTGTACCTTTGTTGGGTTCCCATTACAGCTAAAAACAGTTTCAGAGATGCGATTTCAGTTGGGGGAAATGGTGCCAGGGATATATAACTATGGCTGTAGTCCAGGTCTTCCCCTGTCTGTGTCCTAAAGCTGTGCCTCTTCTATATCATTGTTATTTGTTATCCTATTGTGAACCAAAACTGTTCCAACTAAATGAAGATCCATTGTTGTGGACAGAGTGGAGAGATGGCACAGCCAAGGGGGTTTTATCATCTTGCTAAAAAGGGGACACGTGATGGAGTGCTTGGATCTTTTATTTGGATTTATGCTCAACCTGTATCAAAACACTTTAGGTATGTTCAACAAGATTTATTTTGGCTGATATTTTATGACCATTTCTAACTCTAGCACTTCATGAGCAATCAAAAAAATCCACTCATCTTTTAGTTTAACTCAGGTTGTCAAAAGGTCAGCAAAGGTGGTCCACAAGCACATCTTGGACACTCCTCTTACAACATTGTGCTACCTCAGAAAAATACATGCAGTTGCAACTTTAAAAAAATTTTAAATTTAAAAAATTTGCAAAACTAACATTGGGGAGAGAGAACTAAACATGGGATTCCCCCATATGTGTAGCCGAGGTATATTGTAGGGTTGCCAAGTTCTTTTTCTTCTGCGGCGGGGGGCTCCCGGACGGTGTCTCAAGCGCGCAAGAAGCGCGTGCGCGCCACATGCACGTCAGCCGGAGGTGACGTGATGATGCCGGGCACGCTGGGGGCGGGGCCACAGCCATCTGAGGGGGAAACATAGAGTGCCCGGCGTCATCACGTCACCTCCGGCTGACATGCACGCTGGGGTGGGGTTTCCCCCAGGGCCCGATTCCGCGGCGGCGGAAATTGGGCCTCCAAAGCAGGGGGAAATCCGCCCCCCGGGGGGACTTGGCAGCCCTAGTATATTGCTGCCCAGCAGGACTGTGCCAAATGCCCTGATACTTGTTTGGATTAACTCTCACAATGCTTCACTAGAAATGGGACCCATGGTTTTGGACAGCCATTAATAATGGCTCCTTGCATGCCTTAACTTGGCACAGATGATATTTGTTAAGAGAAGTTTGGGAAGAGCTAGTATATAACAATAAATTCATCTTTCTTGGTGACACTGCACTCTCGATGCCTTATCTCCATTTCTGTTGGCTTACATATCTCATTTTGAAGTATGTAAGATTTGCTTGTCTAACGTGAACTTACCCTATGTTTGCTCAGAAGCCTTTATGAAAATTCCACTTGTCACATGGAATTTCCAATAAACGGAGAGTTTATAACCAGTGCTGGATGTTGTTGGAGGAATCTCTCCACATTATCAGGCTTTCATCTGACATGTGCTGCTATACATAACAGCTCTGGCATGGAGAGTCACCAGCTAGAAGCACCAAGGTCATCGATTAGTTACTGTGTGTATCAGCCTTTATTTACAATAGTATATCTAAACGCTAAGCATTTCCCATATAAGTGGGAATGTTAAACTTCTTTAATTATAGTTCATCTATACATAATGAATGGGGGGAAATAAAGTTGCAGAATAAATTCTAAATTTTAGGGTACTGAATACAAATGTTAGAAAATGGTAGCTCAACAGATCCCCCCATTATTATGAAAATAGGTGGTTTTAGTCTGGTAGAATAGAATTTGAGAGATCTACAATTTTGCAAATTTTGAGGGGAATCTTGTAAAACAAATTTCAGTGTAACACAATAAACAGGTGAAAGAACGAATAGTAGAGGGATGGAGTAGGAGGCCAGAAGGCCCTATGCTGCCAGGGACCAGCATATCTACGGGACCATCCCATATGTGTCCTGAAGAGCCTTGCGCTCTTCTGAGCAGCAGTGCTTGGTAGTCCCCAGCCCAAAGGGTCTGCCTTGCCTTGACAAGGGCCAGGGCCTTTACAGCCCCAGCCCCTTCCTGGTGGAACATGCTTCCGGCTGAGATCAGGGCCCTTCGGGATTTATTACAATTCCTCAGGGCTGCAAAATGGAGCTGTTCCACCAAGCTTTTGGATGAGGCGGCGGATGTCCATAGGACACTGGCCTTCCCTGCTCAATCTGCCTCAATGATGTGCCTATAGAAGAAGAAGAAGAGGAGATTGGATTTATACCGTGCCCTTCACTACCCAAAGGTGTCTCAGGGCGGCTTACAAACTCCTTTCCCTTCCCCTCCCCTCCCCACCCCACAACAGACACCCTGTGAGGTGGGTGGGGCTGAGAGAACTCTGACACAAACTGCTCTTTTTCAAGAACAGCTGTGCCAGAGCTTGTGACTGACCCAAGGTCATATCAGCAGGTGCAAGTGGAAGAGTGTGGAATCAAACCCGGTTCTCCCAGATTAGAGTCCGCACACTTAACCACTACACCAAACTGGCTCTCCAACTTGGTTCCAGAGAAATATGTTCTCCCTGGCATTGTCGCAGTATTACAGTTAAAAGATATTACTAAGCTGCCGCCAGGTATTAAGTGCTGAAATATTTATTTAAATGAATTGATTGATGTTTTTATGAATTTTTATTGTTTTATCATGTGTTTTAAGCTACCCTGAGCCCACTTGGGGGATAGGATGGGATACAAATCTAAATAAATAGATAAATAAATAAGAAGCATGGTTCCCCCTAAAATATGGATCTCCAAGAAGGGCTTCGTTTTTTAAAAAAATGGTGACACTGTCCCCAAAACTTGGAGAGAAAGCTCTGAAAATGAGAAGCACGATTGCTAGACATTAGACTTTCCATTTTCCCACTAAAGGCAGGATATCTACAGTTTTACCCTAAAAGTTCCAGTGATTCTTAGAGAGGTATGATGTCACTTTCAGGTTTTCCATATAAGTGACATAATGCTGTTGCCAGCCAACAGCCCCCCATGACCACCTTCCCTCCCCCCAGACTTCCTCATTAGTAATGGGTGATATTACAAGCTGTTCTTTCAGTCTGTTGTGATTTTATGGAAGTAGCTGTCAAAATTTATTATTCCACTTAGTGAAATAGTACTGAAAGGTTGGTATTTCCTTAACTCTGAATTTAGTAAAAAGTTGATTGCTAGTCCTGCTTCTCAAATGATGATAGAAACTAATGTTACTCTTTTTCCTTTTATAATTATTAAATGAGAGCAGATAAATAATCTGTTCATGCTAATCTGTTGTTGAATATTTATATTTTTGTTGCTGTCTTCAAAATACTATAGGAATGTTTATTTCAGAATAATTTAAGTACAGTATGCTTGTGACTGCTAAACACTGGCATAACTCTGAATGGAATTAGCCTTTCGGTATTCCTCTAAAATGAACATTTTGCTTAACATAAATGCTAAGACTACAGAAAAGCAAAATAATTATGTATGGTTTGGAAATAATTTTTGTGTGTGCAAATGGCTTATGGAATTTGCAGTATGAAACCTGCTTTCACATATGTTTATGGGCATAGGTCTATTTTATTTTTCTTCTTTTTGCATGATAGGCTCGTTATAGGAAGGAGCAAACTCTCCTTAAGCAGCTGCCCTGCATTCCATTGGTGGAAAATCTGCTGAAGGATGGCACAGATGGTTGTGCTTTAGCTGCCCTGATCCATTTTTACTGCCCGGATATAGTCAGATTGGAAGGTGAGATGGATACTTTTTTAGAATTTTTGCTGTAGCTAGTGTTGACAATACCGGCAGTGTATTAGAATGTAAGAAATAATGGTCTAGTTAGCGACACTAGAGTTGCTCTTCTTGATTGAGCCATGAAAAGAAAAAGAAACCAACTTGATTGAAGGTAATCTTGTAAAGAATTTACCCTGTTGATAGAGCCAATAATGAGTCGAGTCTATGAACACAAATTGCATGGTTTCAACTGTCTGGTAAATCAGTGAACCTAGTGCAGGATATGGAGTCCTGGGAACTTAAAAAGTAGTTTCTAATTACCCTTGTTATCAGAAAATTGAGACAATATAGACAATTTCTGCCAACTACTGGAGGAATTGGAGAGTAGCAAGGGAGGTACATAATCTTAAATTAGCCTGGTTTGCAATAATCTACCTGTACACACATGTGAGTGTGCTCTTGTTTTCCTTTGTTTAACAACAACAACAACAGAAAGAATATACAGCAAAAACTAGTGTCATGAATAAAACATATCTATTTATAAACATTATTAGTTGGATAGTTTAAAACCCATATTGTCCATTAATATTGAATACCCACTGGAATGTGGAGTGCCACAGGGAGCGATCCTCTCGCCAATGTTATTTAACATCTACATGCACCCCCTCACCTAGTTAGTCCGGAGCTATGTCTTGGGTATTCATCAATATGCTGATGACATCCAGCTCTATCTGTTAATGGATAGCCATCCATCTTCTGTCCCTGAAAATCTGGCTGAGGCTTTGGACGCTGTGGCTGGATGGTTGCAGTAGAGTCGATTGAAGTTAAATCCGTCAAAGACAGAGGTCCTGTGCCGGGGGGGGGGGGGGGCGGGAGGGATGTGGGGACCAGCCTCAGTCCCCACACTGAAAGGGGTGCCATTTCAACCTTTATTGGTATAAAAGATGCTGGTAAATTACAATCAAGAATAAATACAAAGGTCTGATCGATGATAAGAACAGAGACATAAAACAGTTGATTAAGGTAGTGACCAATGATCAAGTATGTATTTAAATCAATAAAACATCTGAACAGCGTCCAACAATTAAGATACAGTGATGTGTTTAGACTCAATTTTATAAGCTTCTACTAAAAATTTAGCAACACATGCAGTGATTTGATGGTTGACATCTTCTAAAAATAAATTAAAATATTTTCCTTAATGAAGACACTATGCTGGAGAGTAACACTGGATATCTCTATTTCCATGGAGGCTCAAGTTGCTGCAGTCGCCAGCTGCATTTTTCCATTTTAGGCAGATTAGGTTACTTTCAAGCCCGCCCTTGGCTCCAGGCGTAGAAGACCCTCCCATGGCCGTGACGATTCAAGACGGGGGGAGGTCTGACGGCTCTGGAAGCTGAGGCCTGTAAAGAAGAGGGGGAGCGTTGGGGCCTCAGATTCATAGGGGACGGAGTTTGACTTAAGTCCCTCTACCCCCGTTGATCGGCCCCAAGCTTCTCAGCGTCCTTCATGGACTCTTTCTCTCTCTGTCTGCGTCAGGTAGTTCTGAGCACGTCCTTCCTCCCCGGCCCCTTCGCTTCCCTCTCCTTTATACCCAGCTCCCTCTCCCAGCACAGTCTCCCGTCCCCGCCTCCCTATCATTCCTCCCAGCCCCAATAAATGTAGCATATATTGTTTTCCATTCAACTTCTTATGAGTTTGTTAATGTACAAACTCAAGTTCTATTATTGTTTCATGTTCAGTTCCATAGCTGTTTCAGTTTATTGTGTCCTTTCTTCCATTGTCTTAATTCTTAATATGATCTCTGCTGTGGCCCTTGAAGCTTGTAAAATAGCTCACCAGTAGCTTTCAAGGATTATTCATGCAATTCCTAAAATCGGTATTTTAACTTTGGTGGGGTTTTAGATCTTTTGACTACCAAAAACATGAATATTTGACAAGAGTAACTTATGTGAAGTACTTCTAACATGAATTCATCTTTTTCATTTTATCTGAATATGTGAGCACTTAAAACATCATTACAAAGAAGGCAGAGTAATTAAATCAGATAACTGTTAAACCAGATATACATTACTGACTGGGGAAATAATCAACATTCCTAAAGGCAGATGGGCTGATATAGCCAGTTTCAGAATACTCCAGGTGACCTTGGGGGTTCCTTAAAAACATATTGGGGAGGGGAGTTGATGAAAAGTTTTGTAATGGTGAACCAGTTTCCCTGGAAGCTTTATATAGGATTGCCAACTCTGGTTTGGGAAATTCTTTGAGATTTGGGGGCAGCACCTAGGGAGAGCAGAGTTTGGGGAGAGAATGGTATGATACTTCCTTCACTGAAGGGCAATCTGTTTCCCTTCCTCTTTTGGTTCCCATAAACAGTGCTACCACCTGGATCACACTGAATCAACATTCAGCTACATTTCCCATTTGGTACATAAGGCCAGCTAGTGTGAGCATTGCCCCTAAAGCCATTAATCTTAGGGTTCAAAAAGACCCTAGGATTTAGGGTGCAGAAGGACAATGTTTATAAAATAAATGAATAAAAAGAAACTTTACTTTAAGAAACGTACAAAGTTCAGAACATTCAATCACCTTTCTCAACCTCCAGCCCAATATTTTAAAAAATAAATCAGTAAGGGGGGGGGGGACCAATTTAAAATAGACAACAATAAAGATGTCCTTCTTAATCCTATCACTAATATCTTACTAGGGCAGCCCTGCCTAAAAAGATCTAAAATGAAAACTGCACTTCTGTATCACCCTCTCCCCAATATATATATCCCCCTCCCATAATATCCTCTTATCCATTCAAAACCACTCCCAACTCTCTCTCTCATTGGTTCTTCCTATCTCTCATCTTGTCATTTCGTCACTCTGCTTCATACCATACACTTTCCTCCTACCCAGCCATCATCCTTATGTTTTAAACCACCTCTCAAGAACTATATACACAATTACATTTTATGGCACTATCTGCCAGTTTTATATATATTACATCACAGAGGGAGCTCAGCAGAGACAGGATACCATAGAATCTGCCCTCCACATTTGCCATTTCCTCCAGGGGAACTTGTCTCTGTAGTGTAGTCTGGAGATCAATTATAATTCAGTAAGACCTCCAAGCCCTACCTGGAGATTGTTAAACTTAAATTCATAGCAGAGTAGGGATTTATGTAAAGGTGGACTGTACATCCCAATAGGGCTGGTCAGTGAACCATGGATGCACCCTGAAATGTGCTCTAGAATGCGCCACAGTTCACAGAGGTTCCTGAAAGGAGAGGTTGATGTGAAAGTATTCCCTGCAGGTAAAATGTTTAGAAATCCAGATTATTCAGAATCACTGTGTTCAGAAAACAAAATTCACTATAGTATGTTTTGAAATGGAGATAAATTGGTCCAGAATGCAGGGGGAGGGGGAGTCCTATAGGCAAAAAGTTCCCATTTGTTCGTGAAAAAGGCAGGGGCAGTGCTAATATGGATGGTTTCAAACCCCCACCCCCGGTTTTAAGAATAAATGTTGAATATGTAGGGGAAGACTCTGGTTTGTAAAATTGCCTAAATCTTCTCTTTTGTAGATATATGTTTGAAGGAGACCATGTCATTGGCTGACAGTTTGTATAATCTGCAATTGATACAGGAATTTTGTCAAGAGTATTTGAACCGATGTTGCCATTTTTCACTTGAGGATATGCTCTATGCTGCTTCTTCAGTAAAGGTAAAAAAGAAAGTTGTAATGTGTGTGAGTAATTCTCCATGGGAAGCCATGTGTACAATGTGCTCATGATGCTTGTAGTATGTTTTGTGATCCTGTGTGTGTTCAGGATGTAAATGGGTCTTTGGAGAGTATTTATTTGGAACATGTATATGCTGCCTTTCCAAAGACCTGATCTTACAAAGAAGCATACCCTAACCTTGCTTTTACTTCCTACCAGAATTCTTGGGAGCTTCTGGCTAATTTTAGGGTATGAGGTTTTTTAAAAAATCCTGTCCTAGAAGTTGATGTGTGTGTTTGGGAAACAGTTCATGTGTGTATATTTGTAGTTTACATCCCTGGGGGTTTGCTTCCTTGAACAAATAAATAGCTTCATTTCCCTGTTTGTTTTATACCCACTTTTCCAAAAAGTTGGAACAGACTAAATTTCTTAATTAAAAATTGGGTGCAGTCTTCACAGGAGGGCCCAAAAAAGGATAATGTGTGAGAGTAAAGTATACAGCCAGTTTTAAGTAACAATACATTCATTAATGTATTTAAGTTTAAGCCCTTCAACCTTTCTGTACACGTTGTAAGCTGGATCATTCTAAAAGGACTGGGATTTGCATCTTGATCTCTCCATGTTTGCTTGGAAATGTCCTTTTTTTATTTCAGTGGGAAGTATATCTGAAAAAAATTGCCTGGAGATTTGCCCTGAGAGATACTTGCTGTCAAAAATAGGGAGATTTGCTCCGTAGCCTAATCTAATTGATTCTTTTTCACTTATTTGTTTCCAGGCCGCCATGAGCCTGCTTTGCGGGGACGGCGGGGTATAAATCTGACAATAAATAAATAAATATCTTATGGCATGGTATTAATTCTTTCTGTTGTCACACACATATGCCTCAGCACATAGTTTGGGAATGACTGGTATATAAAATCAAAATATCAGATCTTCTCCATTGAATCCCATATCATTGTCCTACACACTTCAACTAGTTCTGTACCTGTGAGATGAACAGTCTCTTCATATATGTCTCTGCATGATAAATACGGTCTTCTGGTGGCCACCTTCTAGTTGTTCCCCCTCTAAAGGTGAATTGCTTAGTTTCTGGTTGCCAACTTCTGGTTGTTTTTACACTAAAGGTGGACTGTTTGGCATCTGTTAAACAGCATTCCTTTTCTGTAGTGGCTCCCACTTTGTGGAAAGGGCTCCTTGAGAAGGTGAGGGAAGCACGGTCTTCAGAAGTTTTTAGGAAGCACTTGGGTTTTAAGCTTAAAGCATGTTCTTGGGGAGTGGGTCAAATGGGGTTTTATTGTATTTTGTATGTTTTCATTTTTAATTTAATTTTGTTGTTTAATTTAATTTAATTGTAATTGTAAGCTGCCATGAGCCACAAAGGGAAGGTGGAGTATAAATACTTTAATAAATAGAAATAAATTGCAGTCCTGGCCAAAAGATGCCAGGAGTTTGTACCTTAGAAAATTTGGCATGGCAGTAGGGCTGCCAAGTGGGGGCGGGTGGCGGGTAAACCTCCGCTTCGGAGGCCCGATTCCCCCCGCCGCCGAATCGGGCCCTGGGGGGGACTCCGCCCCGGCGTGCGCATCACCTGGAAGTGACGCAGGCACGCTGGGGGCGGGGCCACAGCCATACAAGGGAAAACCCTATGGTTTTCCCTTGTATGGCTGTGGCCCCGCCCCCAGCGTGCCTACGTCACTTCCGGGTGACGCGCGCATGCACACCCGACACCGGCCGGGAGCCCCCCACTCCCGGCGAAGAATCACTTGGCAACCCTACATGGCAGTGAGAGAGGGTATGTGTTGTATGCAGAAAGCTGTAGGTTCAGTTCCTCGTATCACCTGTTGATGGCTCCTGCGTAGGAGAGTGGAAAGAAACCACTGCCTGAGTTCTAAAAAAGTTGCTGCTAGCTGGTACTAGGCAGTACTGGGCTGATGGGCCGGGGTCTGACTTAGTATATTGCTTTTATTTATTCAGTTATCTTATTTACACAGTGTTTATTTTAAAGTTTTGTCTCAAGGTCGTTTTCAAAAAATCAAAGAAAACTTCCATCATGATAACGTGCTGCAAATGCTTAAATAAAAATATACTGGAAGTTATGGCAGTAACAGTAATCTTTAAAATGTGTTCTTTGAAGTGTATATGCAGCCAACTGTGAAAAGCTGTGTAGGTCAGTACCAGCACTCGGAAGCATTCTCAGTGACAAGTAGCACAGTTGCTTGAATATATTGAATTTTAGTATAGTGGTCGCATTCTAGCAAGTTGGAGACCCTACTCTGGAATACCAAGAAACCAAGAGACTGGGATATTGCATTGCTCCTGTATTTTTTAGACACTACTTCAAAATGGTCATGTCCCTACTAAATTATTCACTAATGGAAAGAAGGGAAGCAATTTCTGTTGTTCCTTTCCTACCGAATCTTTTATATGCCCCTCGTGCTGTTCCTGTTCCCCCAGCAGCATTTTGGGGGAATCGGTGGGCTGCAGTGGAACTGAGTTCTGTTCTGCTGATGGAAGTACCTTTGGTTTGTGGAAAAATTACTCTGGTTCCAACCCTCCATATGTATAAACTCTGTGTCTCTATGGGCAAAACATTTGAAGGACTTTGAAGGAGACAGTAATTTTCCTTCTGCTTGTAATTGCTTCAGCAGTGCTGTCTCTAGCTGCTTTGGGGGGCCTACCTTTTATACAATTCATTTGAAAAAGGATACTGAATCAGACAGCTGAATCATGAAATTATAATAGGCATATAAAATTCCAGCTCCAGCTGCATTGAAGTATCACTTCCTTCTGATGTTCATATTGGAGTCCTAATTTAAAATACTTCTCCCTACATTTATATTTTAATTTGATATTTTTATGGTAAAAATCTGTATATGTTTCTAATTTGCAATAGATAAAGAAATTGCGGTTAACATGTAGAAATCAAGACTTTTTGTGCTCTGGCCTACAAACCAAATCCTGATTTGAGGTGAAATCATTTCAGGATGAATACTTGCCACAGGTGAGCAGAGCATCTTCCTTAGATGATCATCCTTCCAGAGATGAACAACTCTGTTATGGCAGGATGACCACTAATTTCCAAGAACCTTATGTGAGCATTCCAACAAATGGTTATTTTAATGCTGCCGATATGGACTTCTAGAACAGTTGAATACATTGATGTGTACATGAGGAGAGGTGTCAAGACCAGTAGCTATAGGAAATCTTTCATTCATTTTATATTTTCTTCCATTATATTTTCCTCTCTTCTGTGTCTGAAACATGTCTGCCACTACATGAATGTTATGGCTCAGCTCACTGTGATATATAAAATTATAGTAGTGTGTGTTTGTATTGTTGTGTATATAAAACAAAATTAAATGACAATTACATAATAAACAAAAATAATAAAAATTAAATAAATAAAGCAATTATAAATAATAATTATTACATAATTAATAAAAACAATTAAAATGAAATGAATGTTAAATTCTCAGAGATCTAACATGGTTAATCTTTCCATAGTCTAATTAATAGCGTATGAGTTAAATTTTGCAAGGTAAGATTGGGTCCTAATCTCTGCTCATCAAGATGATGCTTGCGTATTCACATATGTTTGCTGTACAATTTCCTTCCAGTGTACCATTAGCAACCAATCCAAACTTTAACATTTGAATCCAACTCAGGTGTTTAAATTTGACTCTCCTGATAGTGAGAAGGGAGTAAGCTGGTTGCTATGAATGGTGCAACAGCTGTTTGTTACAGTGGAAAAGCTTGAAAGTGTCTGGGGAAGCAGCCAACATAGCTGAATTCCTATTCCTGCTACAAGTTGAGAAAGCTTTGAGCCCTGCTTGGAGATGCATCTTCTGCTTTTTAACCTTTTTGCCATTTTTATGTGTTTTCTGCTTTCTCCTATTTTAAAATGCCGTGTCAATTTCTGATTTGCCTTTTATAGAAAATCTTTTAGGTTTTAGAATATCAAACTGTGCCCTTGCTGTGTCATGATATGGTTATACTTAACAGATGGTTTCCCATTTAATATTAACCCTTTTATCAACACTGAACTGGCCTAAAAGCCAGTGTGTGTCAATCTTAGACAGTTCAATTTAAAAGCTGAGGTAAATGGCAGCTGATCGTTTTTTACAGGTTTTGGACTCCTGGTAACATATAGGAGCTTGCCTGTGTCCTGGAATCTGTTGTCTTTTTAAAGCATTCTTCTTGGCCTCAAAGGTTGTCCCTCTTTCATTCATTTATGTATTACTTCATCTTCTAGCCTGCCTTTCTTGTAAAGGTTTGAGGGGTGAATGGAAGTGATGGAGAAAATAGAACTTAGCATGGCATTTGACTTTTAATTACGAGTAGCACATTGACAAATTCAAAGGAATTATTTTAAAGCAAGATTTTATTTTATTTTCTCTGAGGTATAATGCAAATGTAAGTTTGGCTTCATGGAAGTCATGGTTTGCAAGAGGAAGTCAGCCTTGGAAATGTGCAGTCCCTCCTTCTCCCCTTTCCAGCATAAGCTCCACTCTCTTCTCTTTACTGTTTGCCAGTGTAAAACACAGTTAGTGCTAACAGGGGCCAGAGCCCAGGAGAGGGGAATGGGCTAGGAGAGATAAAATTGAGATGCCTCTGAAGTGGGGTTGCCAGATCCTGGTTGGGAATCTCCTGGAGATTTGGAGATGGCATTTGGAAAGGACAAGGGACCCCTCTGGGGTACAATGCCATAGAGTCTACCCTCAAAAACATCAATTTTCTCTAGGGGAACCATTCTCTGTAGTCTGGAGAGGAGCTGGAATTCCCCCCAGGTCCCACCTGGAGGCTGGCATCCCTACTCTGAACACAGGCTGCAAGTCATGTGATCTGTTTTCATATAATGGTTGGTGTGAGGGGTGGAACCTCAGGAAATGTTTGATTAAGGGTATGTGGTGGCCTACCGCAACAACACTGAACCGTGTTTGAAATAGGGTTGTAAATCTTGCTCAAGAGGTGAATGTTGTTTAATGTTAGCTGTGATTAGTGT